CGCAAGTGGAATGTAGAAAACACGGTGACATTAATTTATAAGTAAATATAATTGCCGATATATCGCGTCACCAAAAATTATTGAGGTCATGACTCATGTACATATATTGCGCGATAAGTCGATATATTGATTATTGCGACAGGCCTACCACTATGGATGTCATTGTAAGATTATAAATGTCTATATAAAGACATCAGTTATTGCGATTATCTTGAACTCTAGTTTCCCCGACTGTCATAAGGTGTGGTAGGATAAATTTAAATTGGGCTTTTTGATTTTGAGATGACTAAAAAAAAGTAATCACTATATAAGGATTTTTTTTTTAAGTCCACTACCTTATATGATAAATTTAGACATTTAATATTGAACCCCAAAATTATTTAAATGTTGGTCTATTTACATATGCAGATGGATGTTTTGGGCCATAAACATTTATTTTTTTCCAAGTAAAAAAAAAAAAAAAAGTTTTAAAATGTGTCTTAAGATCCCTGTGCTGTCTTTGTGCCTGTTGGTGTCTGCTGGCCATGACATTAATGACAGACTTGTTTACCAGATGCGCAGACAATAAACAGTTAAGATCTAAAATATTACATTTACAAAGTAGATGCCCTTTCGTTTTTTCTATAAAAATGTACTTATTATACAGCTTGCATGTTGGAGTATCTAATCTCAGTTTTTCTCTCATTGTTTTGCAGTGGTTGAGACTCCTGCTCTTTTGTGTCTTGCTGCTGTCATCTTAAATAATGGAGGAGCCTCATATTCACTGCATGTCCTGCATAAGCAGAAGATGTATGGTCAAACCTGAACCCGGCACTTCCTGTGACCTCATCAGCTGCCCTCTTGTGTGTGGTGCCGTCTTCCACAGCTGCAAGGCTATTGAACACAAGCTGCTGTGCCCGCTTGAAAGGGTGCCATGTCTTAACCAAAGCATTGGATGCCCTTTTACACTGGCCCGTGGCCAGATGGCAGAGCACCTTGAGGTGTGTCCTGCAGGTGTGGTGTGCTGCACTATGGAGTGGAATAGGTGGCCAGTGAACGACGAGGATTATCGTTCTTATGAGAGACTGAGTCAAGAAGCAAATGAGGTGGAGCAGCTTGACATGGCGCTCGCCCTTCAGGACCAGCGCACCATGTTAGCGTCACTCAAACTCGTCTCTCTGGCTCCCACCAGTGGCTCAGAGAAAAAGACTCGGGCAGCAGGACAAAGCGAAAAGCCTGGCCTAGTCTCAATTGCTCAGCCTCCATGTGTGCAGGTGGAGAGCGTTGAGATGGAGCCTACGGCTGGCTGCTCTAAAGACAAGATTTCCAATGGGATTAATGGTCTAAAAGAAGAACATTACGGGGAGCTCTACCAAACCACAGTAGAGACAACCAAAAGCCTGGCCGCAGCTCTCAACGTCCTGATCCACCTTAATTCTTCAGAAGCAGACTGTACAGCCACTAATGCGTCAGCTGCACTTACAGAGCGCAATGGGGAACTGCATGAAAAAGTGAGGATGAGAGAAGACGCTGCGTTTAGCTGTGATAAAATAGCTAGCGGAGTCAATGGTCTAAAGGAGGAGTTACAGCCTCAACAGCACCAGAAACTCATGGAACTTGGCAGGAGCTTGGCCTCTGCTCTCGGTGCATTAGGAGATGCTGTCAAAGGCACTGAGCCAATTAATGGTTCGATAGTAAACGACAATGGTAAGCTCATTCAGTCAGAAACTTTGGAGTCTGCAGATGTTGATATGAAGGACGTTACATCAGCGGTTGATGGTGAGCCTGGGGCTGTTGGGGGATTTGATGGTGGAGAAACCGCTTTAGATGTTCTTGCTCATGAGGCAACAGGTGAGTGTTGCCCAGTCATGTTGGAAGACATAGATAGACAAGGTTTTTGTAATGGCTCTCATAGTATTGTAGATGACTTAATGGAATCGACCACCGAACACCATCAAAACCCAGTGTCCCAAGGTTCTTGGGAGTTTATTGGTCCTTTAATTCCCCATAGGCCAGAGATCAGACACGATCAACATGCTTTCTTGATCCAGGAGGCCTCTGGATCACAAGCCCCATTGCTGCAGCAGCCTATACATGCTCAGACTCTAAGCTGGGCTCCACGCGAGGGCTCCATGTTTACCTTTGAGTGCGGCCAGCTCTTCCGTCGAGAAGAGTTCGTCTCGCATTTTCGCAATGTTCATGGAGATATCCACTCTGGACTCAATGGCTGGATGGAGCACCGTTGTCCGTTAGCGTATTATGGCTGCACATACTCCCAACGCAGATTATGCCCTTCCAATCAAGGCTCGAAGGTAGTTCATGACCGTCACCTCAGGTCATTCGGGGTGCAACCGTTCTTGGAACCTGTGACAGAACCCAAGTGTGATCATCTTAGCGGATTGCCATTTGAAGTACTTCAACATGTAGCCCGATTTTTGGATGGCTTTAGCCTATGTCAGCTGTCAATGGTGTCTCGTACAATGAGGGATGTTTGCGCCAGTCTGCTGCAGACTCGTGGCATGGTGGTGGTACAATGGGAAAAGAAGCAATATTTGGATGGAAGACGAACCTGGCAGATAAAAGACAAGGTACAGTATGTCTAAATGGTGGCAGCATGCTAATAATGTCATGTTAAACCAAGGGTGTCTCAATCAGCTCCCTAGCGCCCAAGTTTGTGAATTGTAAAGTGTTAGGGAGCATAGTGAGTATCGATGCTCCCTGGTTTTTGCGGTGCTTTGTGGGATTTTTCAGGGAGCGAAAGTTCCAATGTACTAGAGGGATTTCTTGATTGAGATTGAGCCCTTAAAATGGCCGACTCCCTAACCAGTGCCCTGACTACTGAACTAGGGAGCTGATTGAGAGACACCCCAAGGATGCTGCACACATCCTGAAAAGTGAAGCCAAAACTTTTTGATCGCCCCTAGTGGCTGGCTGCAGTATAGGTCATAAGCCCTCCATGTAAACTAATTGGACATTGCAAAAAAAAAAACAGTTTCTGTCATTTTAGGTAGTTCTTATCACATTGATGTATGTGCAGTTGTTCTTGTTCTAATAAGTTTGGTTTTCGTTAGTTTTAGTTGATTTCTGGGTTATTTTTTGCTTCATTTTTCTAAAATGGAAGGAAATAGAGATGCGTCGTCCATCTTATTTTAAATGTGTTAAACAGTTTGCATTTTTTTTTCTGACTGTCCTCTTTTCCCAATCTCAGTGGAAGAAATTATCTAAACCGGTAACACGTTTTACCATAAACTTCTTGTTAAGCTGTAAGTTAAGTAACTGTTTTGTTTTCCTGCAGGTTTGGCGTTTCAGCACAGCCTTTAACCCGGTTAACAGGTGGGAGTTTGCGGACATCTCTAGCATGGCAGACCACCTGAAACGTTGCCCATACAATGAAGTCCTCCGACAAGTGGAGGCGGTTCCACTGCCCTGCATGTGCACGACCAGAGAGCTAACGCGAGACGGCAGATCGCTTCGATCTGTTCTCAAACCAGTATCATAATGCTACAGAAACTTAGTTTGCAAAACATAACTAAAACACTACGATATCTAACCTCTTCGGTCTACAATATAATATCACTGTGTAAATAAAAGGAAGCTAAATATTTTTTGTTTTGATGTTAAGATTATTTTTTTATTAATATATCAAAGATTAATTTGGGCTGAAGGTGCATGATGCAAGGTTCCTCTAGGAAAAATGGTTTGGCTTCCTCTGACACACACCCATGCTTTCTTTATCAAGACCAAGGCTGAGAGTGGACTGGTTTAAAGGAGAGTAAACATTGGTGAAACAAGGCTTAATTCAGTGGGATTATATGAGCCTCAACGTGACAAATAGCACTTGATTTATTTGTCTTGACACAGCAAGATAATCTCTGTAATCTCTTTAAAGATTATCAGATAATGACTTCTGGTTCCTGTCAGTACATATCCACTCTGTAGTATAGTTGCATGGTTTGGTTAAGATACCGTGGTTCAGTTTTGCTCCATTTTATGGTGACATTGCAGACAGGTGCACTTCTCCCTGACCCGGGAACAGCTGTGATCATGCTTAAGAATTCAAGGGTTTGGATTTATATTGGGTTTCAGAGTAAAGTCCGTTTTGCACTCTACGGCTTGATCTGACGCTGGAGCAGCTTGTGCCTCGTCCAAGTTGGGCTCCTCGCGAGGGCTCCATGTTTACCTTTGAGTGCGGCCAGCTCTTCCGTCGAGAAGAGTTCGTCTCGCATTTTCGCAATGTTCATGGAGATATCCACTCTGGACTCAATGGCTGGATGGAGCACCGTTGTCCGTTAGCGTATTATGGCTGCACATACTCCCAACGCAGATTCTGCCCATCCACTCAGGGCTCGAAGGTTGTTCACGACCGTCACCTCAGGTCCTTCGGGGTGCAACCCATCTCGGAACCTGTGACTGAACCCAAGTGTGATCACCTTAGTGGATTGCCGTTTGAAGTACTTCAACATGTAGCCCGATTTTTGGATGGCTTTAGCCTATGTCAGCTGTCAATGGTGTCCCGTACAATGAGGGATGTTTGTGCTAGTCTGCTGCAGACTCGTGGCATGGTGGTGGTACAATGGGAAAAAAAGCACTATTTGGATGGAAGACGAACCTGGCAGATAAAAGACAAGGTACAGTATGTCTAAATGGTAGCAGCATGCTAATGTTAAACCAAGGGTGCATCTCAATCAGCTCCCGAGCTCATAAATCAGTATATTGTGTATACAAATCTGGTCACTGGTAAGGGCCCTTGCTCACTACACATGGGGACAGTGATTACTCAATTTCCAGTGACATGACTACATACAATGTCAGCGTGCATCATTGTAGAATGTCACCGCAGTTATTAATCAACAGCAGGCAGAACCCTTACCTTTTTGATATTATTTTTATGCTCTTTAAACACATTGTTCTATTACAACGTACTATTATGTTCTATTATGTCCTTACAAAATTTCAGCCAAATACTAATTATAAATGTTAACTAGATGTGTTCACTACCTGTCTAGCGATGTGTGTTTATGCTGAAATATATATTTAAAAAAAAGGTTTGTCTTTTCAAATCTTATATTGTGTCTCATATTTATTGCGTTGGCTCATGCATTTTGTTTCATGCTTCAGAAGTGTGACAATTTCTGGTAAAGGAGCATAGTGAGCATTGATGCTCCCTGTTTTTTTTGCTGTGCATTGTGGGATTTTTTCAGGGAGTGAAAGTCACAGTGCACATGACTACTGAACTAGGGAGCTGATTGAGACACACCCCAAGTGTGCCCAACACATGTCCTGAAAAGTGAAACCAAAACATTTTGATCGCCCCTAGTGGCTGGCTGTAGTATAGGTTATAAACCCTGGCCTTCATGTAAACTAATTGGACATTACCAAAAAAATTAATTAATTAATTAAAAACATAAAATCTAATTACACTTCAAACAGATTTTTTTCCCCAAAGATGGTTTCTGTGATTTTAGGTAGTTCTTATTATATGATGTATGTTCAAGTGTTTGTTTTTCTAATAAGTTTGGGATATTTTGGCTTCATTTTTCTACAGTGGAAGCAAATAGAGAAGCGTAGTGCATATATATATATATTTTTTATGTGTTAAACAGTTTGTTTATTTCTTTCTGACTGTACTCTTTTTCCAAACTCAGTGGACGAAACTATCTAAACGGATAACACGTTTTACCATTAAATGATTGTTAAGCTGTTAGTCAAGTAACTGTTTCGTTTTCCTGCAGGTTTGGCGTTTCAGCACAGCCTTTAGCCCGGTTAACCGGTGGGAGTTTGCGGACATCTCTAGCATGGCAGACCACCTGAAACGTTGCCCATACAATGAAGTCCTCCGACAAGTGGAGGCGGTTCCACTGCCCTGCATGTGCACGACCAGAGAGCTAACGCGAGACGGCAGATCGCTTCGATCTGTTCTCAAACCAGTATCATAACGCTACAGAAACTTAGTTTGCAAAACATAACTAAAACACTACGATATCTAACCTCTTCGGTCTACAATATAATATCACTGTGTAAATAAAAGGAAGCTAAATATTTTTTGTTTTGATGTTAAGATTATTTTTTTATTAATATATCAAAGATTAATTTGGGCTGAAGGTGCATGATGCAAGGTTCCTCTAGGAAAAATGGTTTGGCTTCCTCTGACACACACCCATGCTTTCTTTATCAAGACCAAGGCTGAGAGTGGACTGGTTTAAAGGAGAGTAAACATTGGTGAAACAAGGCTTAATTCAGTGGGATTATATGAGCCTCAACGTGACAAATAGCACTTGATTTATTTGTCTTGACACAGCAAGATAATCTCTGTAATCTCTTTAAAGATTATCAGATAATGACTTCTGGTTCCTGTCAGTACATATCCACTCTGTAGTATAGTTGCATGGTTTGGTTAAGATACCGTGGTTCAGTTTTGCTCCATTTTATGGTGACATTGCAGACAGGTGCACTTCTCCCTGACCCGGGAACAGCTGTGATCATGCTTAAGAATTCAAGGGTTTGGATTTATATTGGGTTTCAGAGTAAGAGCTGTGCTTCTGTCCTTTTCTATCACATTGTCATAGAAAAGGAGGGTTTCATTTACAACAGGTTTACAATTACCACTCTCTTAAAGGCTTCATCCAGAAATGGCACCAATGGACTTTAGTCAACTGTCTTTGGACACTCTGTATGTACTCATGCATACATACTGAAACACCTTGAACTATTTTAATTCAGTCTCCTGTAGTGTATCACTCAATATCAGCATGCCAACCATATATCAGCATTTAGAGTCAATTTTTGCACTTTACTGAATTCTGTGGCTGTCTGCACTCTGATCCTCACTAACCTGGAGTAAACAGATGCTCTGCTATTGTGTTTCCTATTGAGTGAGCAGGAAAAGCTTAGCTAACACTATATTTGAGTACAAAGAAGAGCTCTATAACTTACATATATGTGATGTGTGACATATCTTAACCTGTCTGCATTTAAATGTGTGCTGTGGGAATTTGTGAAGGCTAATATTTGAAGGTGTGATCTGCAGCTAATGAAACACTACAGAAGTGTTTCTTTTAACCTTCATGGTTTATGGAAAGCTATGCAGCATTAATGTGTTAGGAGCTGTTTTAGGCTTCTCAGATTTTGTGTCACCCGGGGTTGTGTGTTCATTTCCATGTAATCAAAATGAAGTGTTTTTTTTTTTTTGTAATGCAGTCCATATATTGTATTACTGAAGCCATGTTATATGAAATCTGTTTTCTGGATATTAGGTTGATTGTTTATGATCTAAGCTGGAGAATTGCCAGCTGTTGGCTGGAGTTGCATGAGGTTTTTGACTTAAATGAATAAAAAATATCTATATATTTTATCTTTTTTTTGACTCAGTGTTCTTTTATTTAGTTTTTTTAATGTATGCTTACTGACTACATCCATACTTTTAAGTTTATACTCAAGGAAATTGTCTAAGGATATAATATTTTATTAACATAAAAGTTAATCCTAAATCTACTCAGAAGACCCTGGTATTTCCAGTCCATTACACAGTCTAACTCACAAGTGTGTACATTTATTAAAGCAAACAAAAGAGATGTGGCCTTTTGTTGAAAATTATAAATATGGCTACATTAAAGCAGCTAGATATCTCAAGGTAGTAAGAGGAGAAAAGATACAAAATGTCAGGGGAGTGGTTTTTATTTTTCTACAGCAGAGTTGTAATCCAGAGAATTTGTTTCAATTAATGCTGACCAATGCAGCATACCCTTGTGACTTAATTGTGTTGAATGTGCACTTGCAAAGAATACTTCAAATATTAAAGTATATATTTTTTACTGTACTTTTAGATAATATGACATGACTTGAGATAATATAATATTAATGAAATAAAAGTCCTGAGAGTTCACTTTCATGACTATTTCTTAACACTTAACTACACCTTTAAAAAGTCCACTTTGTAGTAATGTATTTAAAGTTAAAGTCAAATTAAAAGTTTTACTTAAAAGTACATTTTAAATAATGTTGTATTAATAATCTTTTGTCTCTTTGTTGACCAACATATTACATCACATGTAATGTTCTTGATTATCTTTTGAACTGTAGTGTTATTCAGTATTACATTTTAAATTAATACATTTGAAATGTACTAAATTGCAACTTCATAATTAAAAAGTGTATCAATATTTAAAAACCTGAAAATTAAAATTCAATAGCAGTAATAATAGATTTAAATTGCCGTGCTTATCATTACATTCAGAACTAAACTTTAACCATATTTCAAAATCAAAGGTAATTAAGAAATTACATATAAAGGTGTACTTAAGTTCTACTTAAGTAGGCAAACAGGCACTTTCAAGTTACACTAATCACGTTTAATATAAATGTAAACTATAATAAGTTTTGTATTTGATGGCAAACACGCAATTAATTTTTGTGGATTTTAATATTGTCTGTAAATAGGCCAGAGTTTTGTGTAATAGAGGGTCACTCAAGTAGGCTTTTATAACTAAGTGGCATGCATTTTATAATCAGTGTGAAACTTAACAGATAGCAAGTGCAGTGATGATAAACTTGAGCTGATATGATCAGATTTTCTGGATCTGGTAAGAAGAGGTCCTAAAAATGCATGAATAATATGCCAATTATGCAAGAATTAACAATGTTTTAGATGGAATGTAAAAGCATTGAAATACACTATGAATTTAATAATAACCTGCTCTCATTTGATAAACTTTGTCATTTATTGCAACAACAATTATTATTTTTCATCCAACCACTTGATGGTGGTGTCTCATTTGGGCCAGAACATTCGTTGGTGGTGTGACAGATTAGAAATCGAATAATGGATAGAATTAATATTTTAAAATACAATTAACTGGTCAGGAACTTAGAAGCCCAAACGTTGTTAAATAGGTCATGTGAGATGGGTTTAATAATTTCTTTATTTGTGTATTTACGTGACATGGCTGCTGAGCATGTTCAGGGGCGCAGTAGGCTATTCAGCTGCAAATGATAATCACACACGTAAGCACATAAGAGGGCTGCTGTGGTCATGTGGTCTTTGTTACTTTTCACAGCACTGGTCAGGGCTCTACTTATCAAAGGCTA